GAAAAAACAATGGCATGATAGCTAAAATGTTACGTAACTACGCTGTCCTTTACTGCAGATTGTATGCATTTTGACAGTGTTCTTGTTTCAATTTAATATCCAAGTGCTTTGTTTCAGCAGGTAAAGTCAGGGAAATGTGCAAATTGATCTTCTGGGCTCTGATGCTACCAGCTCCAGGTATAGGTTGGTAGCATGTTATTGGAGAGAAATATTACCTCAAATCAATAAAGAGTTTTGTTTTATATCCACAGATAAATGAATTCTAGTTTAATTTAGGATAAGATTTGTTGTAGTTTGCTTGTGTATTTTCCCTTTATTCTCTGGTAGAGAATGAAAAAGACTCTTCTATTTGTTGCACAGTCCTGATTCGTCCACTGAACATGGAAGGGCTCTTGCCTTAGGTGTCTGTAATTGTCCCCTCCCTAATCTCAGGAATGACTTAGCTCTCTGTCAGTGTTAGAGGTGGTGTAAAAAGAGCTGGTCCTCTCCTGCAGTATAGGAGGGGAAAAGAGATGATAGTTACAACTTCTATCCAAGGTAAGATGTCTCATAGTCTCTTTCCGCTCTGAACTGAAACCCAACTGAGATGTGAAGCCTGTTGGAAAAGGCAGTGTGGAGACATAATTAGTAATTGTGGCACAGTAAAATCGTGTTACATGGGTGAAAGTAAGGTTACACGGGAATAATACAGGCTGACATTTCCTAGCTTTAGAACAGTTCCACTTGCCGCAAAGTAGATTTTTTAAATATAGTTTTCATGGGTATATTTGAATACAAACCAGTTTTTTTATTCAGTAATGTTATTTTGTAATTATGGCAAGGGAGAATAAAGCTCTTTTTTTTTTTTTTTTTCCCCCCCAAAAAGTATTGACTGTATTTGACGTTGAACTTTATGTAAAAAATAAGTGAAAATTTAATATTTATTGCAAGTTTTGCCCTATAGTGGAAACAGGAATAAGAATAAATCAATATTTATTTATCAATATTTATAAAACATTTATCAAATACTTGTCCAAGTATATATTTCCCTACTATGCAAAAAATAATTTTGTGTTGTAGCTGTTGCTGGATAGGGAGGCCACTGTTAGTGCCGCAAGATGGTAGATACAAGATACAAGATGGTAGATAGAAGCAAGATACAGCTTTTATGTAGTTGCAACTATTGAAGGAGAAGGCCTCTTCACCTATTTCAAGATCATTATTTTCTTTGGACTTCTTGTTTTATTTTGGGAAACTTTATTTCTTTTGACGGAGAGTGTTTTTCTTATTTCATTCTTATGTGATTAGGGAGAAGTGTAAAGAAATCAATTGGACAAAAGCATTATCTGATTTATCTTCCTTCTGTGCAGTACAGTCCTGAGTTACTGATTCCTGTGTATTTGTCACTAATATATGTATCCTGTGGAAGGCAGTCTTTTACAGAGTCACAGAGCCATAGAAAAGCTGGTGGGAAGGAACATCTGGGGGTTACCTAGTCTGTTTCCTTGTTTGAAGCAGGACTGTCACAAATACCAGATCAGGTCAGCTGTGACTTGAAGACCTCTAAGGACAGAAGTCTATTTATTGATCCACTGTTCCCCCTTCGAGAATTTTTGTGCTGAGATTACTTTATTATTTTGACTATGTGTAGAACTCCTATTAAGTGGTTTATAAATTATGGCTGGTAAAAGCTGGGGACCAAGAGGTGGGAAGCACGCAGGGTGTGTTGAATTGGAATAGGTGACCTGAAGAGATAATGCATATGAGCTTTCTTATTAGAAATACTTTTTTTTTCTTCATTATTTCTTAGGTGTGTTTTTCTAACTCTGATTGCTTTCAGTCAGCAATTAAGTATATTTGTACATTGAGTATGCTCTGAAAGGTACAGTGTGCTGTGATTCAAAATGCATCTAGCTGCTGTCAGAAACATTACTTCATCTGCTGAAGTAATTTAAGCCATTGTAAGTAGTCTCTTTACGTAGGATTATGGGCAAAGGAGCTCTAGCAGATCTCAGTGGAATGGTTTGAGTAGTTGCCCACTCACAGTTGATGCCTGTTCAATTCTTTAGTGATTCTACCCTCCATATAGAATTTACGCCCACCTGACCCTGGCAGTTAAAGCTAAGTGACTGCTCTGTAGTGGCATGGCTGAAGTGTTTGCGTGGTTATGATACATGCAACAGGGCCAATAGCAGGTAGCTGGTAGAGGCTGACGTCCCTTACCATTGCTGTTGTTTTTGCTGAATGTGTCATTTTGTTGTCTGAGAATCTAAACTAGCAGATCTTGATAGGTATTTGTTGTGGAAATCTGATCCTTGGCTAATTTTATCTGGAGATTTTTCTGCTTAAAGGTAAGTGAATTGGAATATTTTTAGGAATTGGAATATTTCCTTTATCATCTTTGGGTTTTTTTCCTTGAAAAGCTATTAAAGAAAATTTTTCTTTTAAAACTTGGCAAACGAGAAACAGTATTTTTGGAAAACCAGAGATAACTTTTAAAAAAGAAAGATTATCAGTACTGTTGCTGTAACTTGTTTTGAATTTCAATTTGGTATTTTATAAGGATGTTATTAAGGTAGATGAGTTTGCCAAACTTAGTTTGCTGTATATATTAATTGTCTCCCATTGTGCAAGTATCTGTAGTGTTTTCTTATTTTTTGGTATGTGATATGTGCCTGCACCATAGGACATCTGGTGTGTAGAGTCACAAAGTGGGAAAGAGACTGTGGTGCTGCTCTGTACAGATACATTCTTAGTTCATGACAGATGTCATGGAATTGTGTAAGTCTTATGGTACATGTATTCTAGTAGGCATGCTTTATGAAAACTCATATGTCATACTCTAGTTTCAAAGACTTTTTTTCCTTGATTCAGTTTACACAGAAGGTAAGGCTCATTTTCCTTGTACTTCTAGTCTTTTTTTTTTTTTTTTTTAATTTTTGTTCTGTTTGTTACCCTATATCTTCCCTACTGCATGCTTTTCAGATGCTGCTGCAAAGGAAGAAATATTTACTTTCTTTTTTTGGTAATTAATGATAAATCTTCCTAACAATTTTCCCTCCTTTTTCAGAAGGAAATATTGGGGAAAAGAAAGTGTATTTCTGATAACACTGTTATTTTTTGAAGTGCACTGTATCATGCAGCACCTGATGCTGCAAATGTTCAAGTAAATATTTGCTGAAAAGTATTTTGAAAATATTCAAATAAAATGAAAATTTTTATTTTAATCATATTAAAATCTTTCTTTTTGTAAAGAAGCAGGACAGTCTAGCTGCCCTATGTTTGTATTCCTTCATGTTCTTGCCAGATAACATTCTTTTACAGAGCTATAGCAAGGAACCACCATATGACCAGACTTCTTTTTGAGTCAGTTTGCCCAGAAAGCTTATATTAGATGTCTGCTTTAGTTCATGAAATGGACCGCACTGTTCTCAGTAGTAGCAATTACGTTTTCAATGCAGCTGGATTCATAAAATATATAACAAAAATACTGAGTTTCTTGCCCATTGTCAAAACATTTGGGTCATTGTTCTAATAAACATGCTTCTCTGTTTTATCACTTGTTCTGTAATGTGAAATCTGTAATGTGAGTTTACTTTTGGTAATTGAGGGCTCTTTAAATTATGTTACGTATTCAGTATGTGGAGTTTCAAATCTAGATTGATTTATTGATTTTTATATGGTTTGATTTTATGCGGAGTTTCAAGTCTAGATCCTTCGAGCTCTGTGCCCTGTCTCTTAAGTGCGTTTTATTTCAGATTCAGGTAAGATGTTCAGGAAACTCACAGTGTAATAAACTGAAAATAGGATAGTATAATAAACTGAAAATATAGATGCCTAGGCATCTATGAATAGGTGTATATATACGTACGTATGCATTTGCACACAAGCAAGCATCTATTAGGAAAAAATTAAATGCAATTCCTGCCAATATTTTCATTAATATAAATATTGAATCTGCCTGTGTTTGTGTTATTAGCAAGTGTGTGTAATGATTGTAATGATTCTATTTGACAACGAATTCCACATACTTTGTATGATTAAATTTTTTTATTTTTTTAAGGGTTTTAATTATTGTTTAGGACTCCTGAATGTGAGCACAGCGGTAATCTTAGAGTGGTGGTTTTGGTCTGAATGAACAGGTCAAAAGTGGGCTTGTTTCAATTTACCATGTGAATGTAGCAATAACCATATAAGAAACCGTATAACCATATAAGAAACATTATCTTGCACATATGGGTTGGTGACATAACTACTTGATTTGAGAAACGTATGTGACTTATGAATCCTGATACTATAGGCAGTAAAGTACTTGCCTTATCTTCAAGGAGGTTTTTAGTTACATCCATGTTCTTATATAGCACAGTTGGGTTGAAGGGCATTATAGGAAGGTATTTGCTTTCTTCTAAAATGTTAGGTTTTGCGACAGCCAGAAAAAACAAATCTGATTTCATTGGTAACTTCTGGATGTTCATGCAGAGATTTCTAGATATTGGTTGTGCTTTGAGGGTATTTTTTATTGTAAGATACAGAGGTCCTAGACCCTAATGTGTGGTTCACTTTACAGTGTCAGAGAACAAATCTTGCAGGTAAGATGCTATATTTATTAAGTTTGTGGCATAAGTTCTGTACTTCACTCCTTTCAGAACAGTGGTGTGAATGTTTCTTTTATGACTTAAATTTTTAGGTGGTATATTATGGGCATTGTAGTGGGTTTGTTCTTTTTTCTTTTTTTTTTTTTTTTTTGCCTTCGCCCCTCCGCCCCAAAAGACTGCCCTACACAGACCCTTGTAGTTTAATGTTTGCTTTTACTGAGTCTAGTTGTGATTCATCATGTTTACGTGACGTACTGTCAGCCGTCTGTTAGTTATAGTTTAACTTTCAAGTCTGTATGTAATTTGATTTTATTAATGAAGTACAACAAACAGCATTATGAAGCTTTTCTCTTTTAATCTTACAAGGAAAAAAATCCGTATCTAAAAAAGCAATCACAAAGAAGAGGAAAGGTGTCACAAAGTCTACCATACCAGAATTTCAGGTAAATTATTTTAATTTTTGTTTTAAGCACTTGAAATCTGAATGTCTGTAAAATAAGTCCTTTAGTTTCTGATAGAGACCTTGGCAATCCTAATCAAAGATTAATTTCCTTCTTCTAGTTCAAAAGGTTTAATCTGATAGTGTTTTTAAAAGTGCATTTGACCTTTTCTTGGTAGAGAATGTTTTAGCGTTTTTTATTATGTGCAGCTTACGCACTGTTTCACAGTATTGTTTAAGATCCCAGATAAACCTGTTACAGGAAAAAAACTGTGAAAACTAGGAGTTGTTAATGGAATTTTTAAGGTAGATATAATTTTCTGGAATAAAATTACTTGTGTTTTGTATGAGGTGCGACACTGTGGTCCTTGAATTGAAATCTAGCTTGATTTACTGAAGGGCTTGCAAAAAATTTGTAGGCTTCTGTGCTCATCTTGTTTGCAACTTTTACACTTTATCTGCACATGACCTTTAGACCAGAGAGCACTAAGGAAAGAATGCTAATTATGATAGCGGTTTTATGGTACTGTAATAGAAGTGTTATAGTACTTCAGTTCTAAGACACAATTTATGTATGCATGCTTGCTTGGATTGAAGTTCTCCTTTGACTGTAAATTTTTTTCTTAGAAAGCAATCTATGCTATTCTGAGCAATAGACCTACATTAAATCATGACTGTTCTGTAAAGCCCTCACACTGAATCAATTTATTCCATGGCGATGATGTGTTTCAGGTGGAGCTAGTAGAATTTCTGGTGATAAAACTGGTTAGTAACAGTCAATATTGAGAAAAGACTGATAATTAAGTGTACACTGACTTTTGTCTATATTCTAATGGTAGTGACTAAAATGTTTCCTAGAAGCTCCAAAAAATGGGTACAGTGTCTAAAAATTTTATGCACATTACCTGCATGCCATGGATGTACACGGTTAGGTTAGAAATCATTTTTTACAGTATTAAACTACTGCATTTAAGTAGTCTGTCTAAAACATTATCTAAAACTTAGCCCAACTTTTTATCGAACCAAGGTAAACTGTACATTTACATATCTATCTAAGTGTAAAATTAACGTTATTACATTTACCTATGTAAAATGTTAATTAAAATGTAACAAAATAATTCTGGCTTTTTTGATCAAAGCTAGGCTTTATATCTGTTTTAGGTGAAGCTAAGATCAATTAGTATGAGCAGTTTAATCTTATTAGGGAATTTTTTAATAATTTAACCTGCCTTTTTCAAGAAGACAGGCAGGACCGGTATGACTTAGAAGTATTTGCAAATATGAAGCCAATAAAACATTTATATTTGGAGTACTACTAAGACTTTTAGAACCTAGTAAAGTATGCTTCAAGGTACTCTGCTCCACATACATGAATGGCCAAACTTAATGAAATTACGTAACTGTTCGAAGGTGAGAGTATATTTTTAAAATATTTGGTAAGAGCTTGAGTGTATACAGGCCCTGTGAGGTTTGCCAGGGAGGGTATAACCATAAGAATATTGTTATTCATATCTAAACATCAGTTCTTTTGGAAAGAAATAAAAAAAGAAAGTAAATGAAAATTTGTAAGATGCTTTATGTGCCTACAGCCTACAAATGTAAAAAACCAACCAAACAAACCCAAAAAAAACCCCCAATAAAACCCACCAAACCCATAAAACATGTTATCTCATAAGACTAGATCCTGTACTTAAGTATAGATTCTTTACCTGAAGATCATAATTTAACATTAAAGCTGAGAAAATCAGTATTAATAAATCTTTTAATATGTACAGTGACCCAAATTATACCTTAAAATCAACTATTAACAAAAAAATTTAGGAGATAATTGTACTACTTAATTCTAACATTTATAATGCCATTTTTAAACAAACTTTTGAGGAAACATAGTGCACAGATTTTCTGCTCTCAATCATGGTTTGAATGTCATGGACAAAGCAGTAGAAGCATAGGTCAGTGAACATCACTTCTTCCTTGTATGTGATTTCAGACCTTATTAATTTCTTAGCTCAAGGCTGCTTTAAAAAAAAAAAAAACTACAAACAACAAAACAAAAAACAAACCCAAAACAAAAGTAGATGCAAATTAAATTCTCTTTACCAAATAAAAACACACAAAAAACATGCCCTGTTTTTAATATTTTGAAAATTATTTGAGAAGTGAGTTTACAGCTTCATAGATCATGAGTTAGTTGGCTGTTGCATATTTCCTTTTAAAAGAAATTCTGAGTTCCAAGCTTATTATTACCGTTGCTCATGTTTTAAAGAAATGACAGTAATTATATTGCTGTATAGAAGGGACATTAATGTGGGGTTTTGGGGTTTCTTTTCTAGTTACAAAATACATTTAAGTTTGGTAACAAGTTCTTTGTCTCAGTCTTTCCTGCTTTCCCCTCATATATATACACATGTAGCTATATAGACCTACGTGTGCTCATTTCTGTGAATGTCTTTAGTCTCATGCAGAAACAATTTATTCTTAAATTAATTAAACAGGGGAGAGAGATATGATGTGTGAGAGGCAATATAAGGAAAAAAGGAACCCACCCATTTTAAGGAACTGGAATAACTTCAGCTTTTCTGTTTAACTGTGTCTTAACAGTTTCAGTTTTATCAGCTATGGTCTGTATTAAATACAGATCTCGAAAGGGCGCTATCTGGACATTTTCCACATGGAGATGGGCAGCAATAAAAGAGCAAGTTCATAGGAAATAAAGTATGACTTGCAATCATTAACACAGATAACCTGAAGTTAAGCATGAGACCCCATTGAAGTGAGTAAAAATTATGCTTAAAAATTGGCTGAAGTTAAGGGGGACAAGGAGGTAGCATCAGTGATCTGGGGGAGTACACTAGGTTTGTATTGATTAATAGATCCACAGGTTAGATTTGTTTTTGTAATGATAAATAGTTGATTTATAAATTCTGAGAAATGGGTCATGGGAGAGTCCCAAGCTGGAATAGAGCTTGGTCCCCCTGTCTTTCCTTACAAAAATCAGGGAAGTTTTCCTATCTTTCTTCCTGGAAGTTCTAGGAGTCAGTAAGAGTCTTTGAGAGATTACTGAGATCTGAGATTGTATCCTAACAGGGAAGTTGAATACTGAATTCGAAAATTTACGGGAATACTGAATATCTGAAGCTTCCGTTATATTCAGTTGAAAAACAGGATGCTTATTGCCTATGAAAATTAAGCCCATATGTAGCAAGTACTGTGCCTGATGTGAAAATGTCTGAGTTGTAGTTAGCATGTGCATAACTAATTACATGACTTGTACATAAATGGAAATATTTACAGCCTGAATCTTTAAGCCACCATGTGGTGTTCTAGAGAATAGGGACTGATCTTTCACTACCTTTGATAAGTCACAAAGGAAAAATTTTTTCTCTTCAGATTCTTTTTCTCATGATAGATTATTGGAAGGTATGTTCTTCAAGAGCCGTATTTGAACTACCAGTGAGCTATTGGAACGTGACAGAATGATTAGATCGTAACATTAGTATCTTTCTTTTTGCCTTCACGTTAACTTACCTTTTAAAACATACAAAACAATTCAGAAAGGCAGTGTTGTTTGTAGAAAATTGAATTGCTAAGGTCAATTGCCAATTATCAACCATGAGCAAACATACATTAGAGTCTCATTATGAGAAATAGCAGCTAGATTCCATATCAAAATGATCATACAAAATACACTACACTTTTTTTATTACTGTTCTTTTCATCTTTCCTTCAAAATGCTGGCTTCATTCTGTAAGATGGGAAATGTTAACCAAGTGAGAGAAGTTTCAGAAATATCTTCTTCCCAGTCAGGGTGCATCTTTAGTACCTCATCTCAAATCCTACTGTAAATGAAGAAATACAAATTTCTTCTTGAACCTTTTTATAGTGGTTTTCAGTATCGTATTGGAGTATTTCAAACAATAAACTCATTTTGACAGTAAATCCTCTAAGCTGAGCTGCTGTTACCTTCCTTGTAATTACCAGTGGTAATGGACACACAGATACCGGCCTCAAATGTACACCTCTTCTGATGAAAATTGGGACGTAGAGATTTGATTACTCTTCCCTGTCACCCCCGGCCACAAGACAACTAAACTTTATATATTTGCATTGTTTTTCCCATTGGTGTAGTTCAGATTGGTACACACTAACGATTTTTTAAATTGGATCCTTATGTCTCAAGTGACTGTTCTAAAAATGAGAAACAGGACTGGGACCTGTGAGAAGTTTGGCCGCATTAATTGTCTGATGACATACAGGAGCTTTTTATGGTAGAGTCAAAGATAGAGTTGGTATTTCTAGGACAGCATTCACTAACAAAAGTGAAATCATCCTTCTCCTTGCAAACTCTTGCCTTTCTAGAAGTGAGTTTCTAGAGAGAAATTCACCCACTTCTAGCAAATGAAGACTATCTTTGGTTCGTAGTTCTGCTTTATCTTTGATCCATGATACACTGAATTAAATGTGTCTCATAGGAGAAAATAAAAAGCAGTGATAAAATTTTAAAACTGAATTGTCAGGTATATAGTCAAAGGAGTGGATTATAATTGCGTAGGGAAAATCTTTTTTATTGACTTTTGTCAAGGACTTGATGTGACAAACTTGCACCTTTTTGTGTAATAGTACAGTATCATAAATTTCTTTGCAGGCCAGATGGGAAAAGAAAAGCCAGTATTTGACTTCCAGTTTACATCTTATGTATTTGGAACTTATTTAAGTGCAGGACAGACATGCATGTTGAACCTAGTAGAGTTACACACTGTAATATTATTTTCTGGGTTACGAGAGAAACCTTTTGCACGTTAATTTTACATACATTGTCTATAGCAAGACAGTGCCAATTTCCTTATTCATTTGCTATTTCAAATTTCATAACTATGAACACTGCAAACCTTAGTTTGAGTCACTCCAATTCCCCAATGCTCTCAAATGTACACAGGTGTTATGAAAATAATGTCATGTATGTGTTAGAGGTTTCTGAAATTTATGTATTTTGCTAAAAGTGTCAGTTCTGTGTTTTCATAGTGAAACTATTTTTTAATCATTTTTTAATATGAGTTTGCTGCAAATCTAAAACTTCATGTGTAATTGAAATAAAAATATATTGTTATGAATTACTGATTTGGGGAAAAAAATTAAAAATTAGCAGTTGTATGATAAAAGCATTTTTGTGGGGTTTTTTTCTGTTTGGATTTGATTTTCTTAAATTATTTCAACATGTTTTCATTAGTAATGAAAACATTTCTACCTAAGGGTGTTCAGAAAGAAGCAAGTTGTAACATACGATAACCTGAAAGAACCTAACAGCTTAATAATTTCCAGTTATTAAGTCTTTAATTGCCCTAAATGATGGTAAGCCAAAACATACAGATTACTTTTGTTTGACGACTTTTTCAAGAAAATAGCATCTATATTCTGAAAGGAAAAATGTAAAAAGCTGTTTTCTAAAGACAGGAATAAAAAGAATATAACCCTTGTTCAAAACATAGATAGGAAGGTAGATTTGATAGACGTGGCTAGGTTATCTTTCAGGAATACTCTGTGTAAACGTATAAAGTTATGTTCAGGAAAAAGTTGTAAAAAGTGTGAGTATGTTATGACTACAGCATAGTCCAAAGCGGGTACACTGTAATTCTCCAGGGAATTGTTTGGTACTCAAACCTGTTCCGACTCATTACTATACTTGAGACAAATTTGGTAGCTGTCATTCACAGAACTTTTAAGAAAATACCTACATTTTGAAATAGAGGCTTACAGGCAGAGATACGGTTTATGTCTGAAGAGTGAAGGATTTTCTTACTACATTTTCTTCCTTTCAAAAAGCCCTATTTTTTTATATTTAAGAAAATAAAAATCAAATGGTGGCACTAAGGAATAACATGTGCATTTAGATTTTATTTAATTTCATTGTACATTTTCCAAGTCCCACGTTACCAAGTGTTTGTGTTCATTTGTTTTTTAGCTTATTTGCACTAATCTTGATGAACTCAGGGAATTAATCACAAAGATTGAGAATGAACTCAAAGATCTGGAGGACATTAAAAAGAAATCGGTATGTGACGTTAAAAGCTTTCTCTTGTATGGGTATAAAACGGTGCCAGTTATTTGCTGAGGCCTGTCAACTGAAGATTTTATAACTGTTCAGTAACTGCATGAAGCCTCGTAAGGTTGATACGTGGAGACGGTAATCTTAATTTTTTCTGCATATAGTGCTCTGTTCCCAGTGTTTTTGTGATAAATAAATTCAGTAACTGTGTAAACACTTTTCACTGCCAAAATAAAAGGTGGATAGTGGTAATACCTTAGAGTAGTTTATTTCTATTAAACATGTTACCATTCTTCCCTGAGGACAAACTCTTAACCAACAAGCAGTTACAGGATAGAGTTCTCATATCTGCCTATGCAGTGCTGATCAGATCTTCTTGTAAGCTGACTCTTATGTTGCTTATTAGGATTCCTAACTCCTTTTGTTTGCAAGTAAGTTATTAAAATTGGCTTTGTTTAATTTTTATTCAAGTAGGTTGTACAGGAAAGCATGCTGTCTGGCTTTTGATACTAGACTGAGATACAAATTTTACCGATGTACACTGGATCACTCAGTCTATGCAGCTGAAAACCTCAAAAGAATAACAGTTAGACAAGAGAATCCAACAAGTTTGGGGTTTTGTAGGAGGCGGTGATTCTCAATCAAGATGGTGGATCGATTCAAATACATAAATAGTACTCATTTAAATGGCCCTCTACAGCCAATTCTTCTTATTACTTACTCTTCTTCATTGCAGTTTTGCTTATTAAACCTTTGGTAGGCATTTCTGTGGCATTTCTATGAACAGTAGTAGTTTAAAATGTTGCTTTTTCTATACCTTAGAAATTAGGCTGCTATTTCTGTGAATGTCTTTAGTCTCATGCAGAAACAATTTATTCTTAAATTCATTAAATAGGGGAGAGAGAGATGATGTGTGAGAGGCAATATAAATTAGGACTCTGAAAGACAAATTTCAGTGCAGACACTTAGCATAATAGTTTTTAAAATATCCAAAGGAATAAAAATTTCAAGACTTAGCTTGAAAGTAAGAAATTGGTTTTATGATAAGATTGTCAAGACGTTATCAGAAAGGCTACGTCAACAATAGAAGAAAAAGCCAAAAATGAGAGTACACATGCATATCAATAATCTTGGTATAGGTGAGACTTTTAGTCTGCTAGTAAAACTATATCAACAAGACTTCTTCAAGGGTAGACAAATGCTAAATATGTCATAATTGCTCTTTGAACTGAAATCTGATAATGTCATTATGTAAATAAGTTGCATGACTTCAGACTATGTTTAGTTCTAATTGCACCATCTTAAAAAAAACAAACCACATAAGTAGAGGGGAGTTAAGATACAACTCATTTAGCATTCAGAACTTGTGAGGTAAGGACAATCTTTCTGTGTGCTTGTATATATCTATCAGATCATGATTCTGGGTCTCTAAACACTTGTGTTGTTAGAAATTTTATGTGAAGAAAAAAGGCTAGGATTAATTGTTGCAGAAGTGATTATAAGAAAACAGTCAAGTGAAGGTATTGATTTTTAAAAAATAATTATCAGGCAAATTTCATATTCACTTTAAAAAAATACAAATAGAAAGATGTTAAATTAGACGACTAGTCAATAAACTTGCTAAAATGAGGTTTTGCAAGGGAAGTCAGTAAAATTTAATTTTTGGTGTCTGACACCATGCGTAATTAGGTTAGATTTCTTAAAAACTGGAGGAAATGCAGATTTTCGTTCTTCAGCTCTGACACAAATGACAGTGGCAGTTTCAGAAGCATCGAGGATAGAGTTTGTTTCAGCTTTTCTGAAGTGCCTAGTCTATTAAGTAAAACATTGTTCTAATTTGATGATGGAAATTTGACCTAATGTGAAAGCTTATTTTAATATGATGGTATTCATTTTGATGCTGTTAATGGACTTCTTTCTTGTTTTGACCCGAAGATGGTGGTGTTCTTACTGCTTCATGGTGACTTTATTGATTTTTGTTTGCAATAGTGACCAAGGTGAACCCATAGGAATCTTTCTTCTTCATGACTAACCTGCTCGGTAATTCCAGTTTTAGTCCATTGTTAGCACAAGCTACTGAGAGAAACCCTCAAGGCAAGCTTTAAGCTTATGTTAAATACTAACACATATTAGAAATGCAGCTTGTCTAATTTATATTAAGACTTCAAAGTATAACCTTTTTCTTAGTCCTAACTGCCCTTTGTTTCCTAGGAGACCATTCTAGAGTACGTAAAAGGAATTCCTTCTCCAGAACTTGGAAGTACTGGAGGCTGTAATGAAAGAGCTGAGCTGTAAGACTTCTTTAACATGAATAAACTTACTGTTTTCCTGCATTTTTTGTAGGTAGTTGGACTGGTTGTATCTGACACTTTTCAGAACATCAGCTTGAGCCAACAAATGACATGAGAGATTTTTAGTCCAAACAAGTTTTGTTTGGCAAGTTAAAAGCAAATTAGAACAGGGTTATGTAATGGAAAGCCATGGGTAATTTTAAGTGTAGGCGTTACTACCAGTTTCTCCTACAACAATGAAATAATAAACCTGTTGGAAAGGATTTTCCCTGTTTGGTTGATTAAAACAGTTTGGTTCTGTACTCTTTTGTACACCTGTATTGTCTTTTGAATTAGATATGAGTAATATTTTTCCATTTTAAAAGTGTTGCACTTTTGCTTGATTACTGGTGAGTTTGTTGTAACAATTATGATGTTTGCATGAGCGTCAGTTCGCCATAGTTGTTTTGAGAGGAAGGTGAAATTTGACCTCATTTCTTTAATTTTAAATAGAGTTTCAACTCAGTCTTAGTATTATCTCTTCCTGGACTGCTTTGCTCTTGAACTCTAGCCACAGTTCTGAAGCGAGGCTGCAATTTCACATATGCTTTCAACCAACATAAGCCAAAACTGCTGCCAAATAAATAGTTCCTACTCTGTGTGTCTCTGGCAGCTTATATTTTGTGTGCCACCCCACGAGGGAGGGTAGCAAAATTCTTTGTTCAGCTGCATGGTGAGAGAGTTAGTTTGTGATAAACCTAACTACTTTTTTACTGCTGCTGAGGTATTTGTAACCCAGATCAGTTTTCTAGTGTAATTTGTCATGCAGTTGCACAAATACCTGTGCTTATGTTCTGCCACAGTTTGAAGGGTCATTGTAAGGACAGGAATGAGCATCTGGGGGCAAAGGAGAGTGGGACTGCTTTTGACAGGAAAAGTGCTGTTTTGTGCCAGTGAAGTTGTACATGATATTACAATCAGGGGTGCTCTAAAAACTCTATCCCTTCAGCTACTAAACAGTTCCTCTCCTTACCACCTACTACATTTCAAGAGGGAGAGGAGAGAACAAGTTGGTCAGATTTACTATTTATTTGTGTGCCTGACTGGAAATCAGAATGTGGGAGGTGCAGAAGGGGGACTTGAAGGACTTGAGTCTAATGCTTTGTGCACTATCTAGTGAAAGAATGTCACTTCACATGTCCTAAGGAATGTACCAAAGCTAGAAGACATTCTAGCTTAGACGTTCCGTAGGGAGCCACCCTCCATCCTTTCACTTTAAAGCAGAGTAAAAAAAAAGTAGAGTAAAAATGGAATTAATAGGAAAAAACCACAGAATTTACAGTAACAAGAACTACGTTCTAGTAAAAATTATGTCTGTTTTGTTGCTGATACTGACATAGATAAGATGCAGGGAAAGTTACAAGCAATCAATAGACAATGATAAATCTGAAGTAGACCATACTGGCTAAAAATTCTATTGAGATTTTATTGCATTTTTACCTCATGTGTGCTGAAAATTTAGACTGTATATGTAAGCATGGCAGTTCAGTTGAATGTGAGCTCTTAGAAATTTGCTGTAACTAGCAAATTGATCAAGACATGCAAAGTAGCCTAATTCCACTTTAAAATCTACTTTCAGCGGTGTTGATGAAAAAATAATTTTGACAAACATATGTGGTAGTGAAGCATTTTGCCAGTATATTTGGGATAACATAAAGGCTTCTGCCCAATATATGAAATTTCTTTTATGAGAAGAGATGGTAAAGTAGCACCTTCTATCCTGATCAGTATGCAAGATAACAGCTATCAGTTTCTGATGTTTTGGATCCCATTTTTCCCTGTTGTCTTCTGTGTCAGGTGAAATCAGTGGGAGTTGCAGAGTGAATGGAAATCTCTTTGCTGCCTTTCAGATAATCAGTTTCTCTTGTGATCTGAAGTCATTGGTTTTTTGTGTGAAACTGTTAGTTAAGCTATTCTGTAGATCAGTTGTATGGATTTTACTGTTGCATATCATAGCAGAACTTGATTTTTTTTTTTTTCTTTAAATCCCTTCTTGCCATTGTGTAGTAAGAAACTGATGGGATTGCAGATACTTGTATCAAATAGTGAACTTTGGGCTTTTTTGCAGATGTCATTTTGCAAGCCGACTTTGTAGTAAGCATGCTTATTATAAAATGAACTGGGTTTTGACAAGGACGGTTAATTCTAGACCCTGTCCTGATTATGTTAATGCATAGATTGTCTTGGAGAGAACATAAACAGTGAAAGATTCCTTGTTTACTGAAATGCAAGACGTTATTTTGATAGCATCATTAGATTTGAATCATTCTCTGCAAGTCTGATTGGTAAGTGCATAGCTCTCTGGGGAGTGAGAAGGACAGGATTCCCACAGTTAAGTTGACAAGGCTAAAATGGATAAAGGGCAGTACCTTCCTGAGAAGGAGACCAGACTCTCCCTACAGGGAGAGAAAAGTCAGACAAAGGTGAGGGGAAGGAGAATTACTTAGTCAAAGGGCACCGGCCAAGTTCATGACTAATTAGGGTTTGGAGAAAACGCATTGAAGATTTTATTGTTTTGCAGGGGTCTGTAACACACTGATGTTCTTGACTTAGTAGTAAAAAAGGTAAAAACCTCTTTTATAAAGGTTTTGGGATCTGCCGTCTTTTAATGTTGTTCCTGAAGGTTTTAATTAGACAGTTGTACTTCCCAAGACAGGTGAATGTCTTTGTCTGTAT